GCAGCTGCCCGATGCTGTCTGCTCCGACGGTCCAGATCCTTCGTAATCGTACGCGACCCTTCACGTCAATCCGCCTCTTCGTCTTCATACTCTCTACTGTCCAGGGCCCACGATATCAGGGCAAAACATCCTGATTACCCTGATTTCAGGATGGTGTTTTAAGTTTGCCCTGGAATTTCAGAATGACACTGAAATTTACCCTGTGACGTCAGGATGATTCATGTGTTTTGCCCTGAAATTTCAGAATGGCAGTGAAGTTTTGCGCTGAAGCGTTAGGGTGAATGTAGAGGGATGCCCTGATTCGTGGGAAGGGGAAGAAGGGGTGGAGTGGGGGAGAGGGGGAGAGGGGAGGAAGGAGGCTGGTGTGTGTGCTAGTTCTGTCCCCACCCCTCCCCCTCCAAGGTTTTTGCTCAGCCCATTCTAGTGAAACCACTGTAACAATGTGCTCCTCTCGTGCCTTCCCCTCCACTCTAGTGTCTTGTATTTTTTTGCCCTGAAACATCTAGATGAATTTGAGCTGGTGCCCTGAAATTTCAGGATGGCCAGGGAACTTTGCCCTGAAAAATCAGGGCATTTTGGAAAGTTTTCAAAGGTTGCCCTGAGAGCTCAGGGTGCCCTAAATCCTAACACAGGCCCTGCTACTGTCAGCTTCACTTGCTACTGCTAGGAGTGCAGAGCACTTTTCACAATTTACTATTCGTAACACGGCGCTCAGTTACGACTGCTATTGCTGTATACATTAGCCCTACCAATGTATGCTTCAATCACAATAATTATATATATATATACGGTATATATGCCACGTAACATTCAATTCTAAAACTCCAATATGGGTGGAGCAGGTAACCATGTCAAATACGACCATCGCGCAACGCAGATCGCGCTGTCGTCGACGATCTGATTGGCTCACTACTCTTCCCTGTCGTCACCCCCGTTTCTACCTCGCTTCCGCCCCACACCTTCACTCACCTGACCACCAACCCATTCACGCCACTCACCGAGTCTAGAATGGCATGCTTCTAGTTCCAAGATCTTTGAACTAGGATTCGCCCAGAAACACGGGCTTTTGTAGGAACACGTAGTAGATATCACTCCCACGCCCATGCCTCAAGCCTCTCCCTATCCGATCGCGCGCGTGCGGCGTCCGCAGGAAATATAGCGACATCCATCTCTCTCGTCGCACTGGTAGCTCTCGTCGCTCCCGTCGCTCCCGTCGCTCCCACTCCTCCCCTCGCTCCCGCTCCTCCCCTCGCTCCCGCTCCTCCCGTCGCTCCCGCTCCTCACGTCCCTCCCGTCTCTCGTCCCGTCGCTCCCGTCGCTCCCCTCCCTCCTCCCATCGCTTCCGTCCCTCCCGTCCCTCTCATTGCTTCCATCGGCTCCCGACCCTCTCCCGTCGTCTCCTCTCCCTCTTCCCGTCGCTCCCGTCCCTCCCGTCTCTCGTCCCGTCGCTCCCTCCCGTCGCTCTCGTCCCTCCTATCGCGTCTGTTCCTCCCGTCGCCAACGTCGCTCCCATCGCTCTCTTCCCTTCGGTCCCTCCCGTACCTGCGGTGTTTTAGAGAGCCGCGGCCGTCGCGGAAACCCCTGTTTCCCCAAGTCCACTTGGCGATCTCAGGCTTCGCAGACCGAACTAGCCATCAGCTTTTCTTCCGGCGGCCGTATCTCGAGAATCCCCGAGGAGCATGGCACCTGGAGCTCCAGCGTCAACGTGCACGCCATCCCCGCCTCCCAGGAGACCACCCTCACTTCTACCTCTTTCTCTCCCGCTCCTCCTCCTCCTCCCGCTCCTCCTCTCATCGCACCTTCCCCTCCTCGTGTCGGCGCAAGGCCTCGTGTTGGTGCCCCCTCCCCCCGACGACAGCGCGCCGATCGCAGCCCCGCCCGCCTCCAGGCAACCCGCCGTTTCGCCCCCGTCGCCGCATCGCGAGTCGCTGCGCAGCTCGGCTGACGTGGACGAGGTATACCCTGACGTGTCCTCGCTCTCAATTGGCCTGGCAAACAGCACGATCCCGTCGCTGGAGCATGCTGACGTGGAAGTGTTGGTCCCCAGGCGAGCGGGCGACGGGGATGAGGCGGGGGGGAGTGGGCGGGGAGGGGCGGGCGGAGAGGGGGAGGAAGGGGCGGAGGGGGGCTTTGCGAGCATGGATGCGATGCTGCATTGGTCCATAGGTACGTGTGGTGCAAGCAGCTGCTTGTGGGTGTGCTGGTATGAACCGTGTTCCCTGCATGTGTACGGCCGCACTCATGCTGGACGTCACGCCTGCGTGCCGGTCACCACGTGCCACATGTGCCCCTCCTTGTCTGTGCACCACCCCTGCTACCGTCTCGTGTCATGCGTGTCCCTCCGCGTGTGAGCAGCGCGGTCGGACCCGGAGGCGTTGAAGCGGGCGGCCAAGGAGGTGGCGGAGCTCACAGCGGAGGAGCTGGAGGCCAAGAGGAAACACATCCGCGTCAGTTCTGCCTCGCCTCGCCTCGCCTCGCCTCGCCTCGCCTCGCCTCGCCTCGCCTCGCCTCGCCTCGCCTCTCCGCACACTCGTTCTGTTCCTCTGCCCATCTGCATGCCATGTTTCCAACCCCCCCATGCAACCCCCATCCCCCCCCCCTCCCTCCCCTCCATCCATCCGTCTATGCAACCCCATCCACCCCCCATGCCCCCGGTTGCGCGCCGTGCCCCATGTGCGCCTCATGCCCCCCATGCATCCCCCCCCCCCTGCAGGACGTGGTGGAGGCCATGCGCATGCCATCCCCCGCCGACCTCATGCGCTCCGCCATCGCCCACATCGCCCCCGCTGCCGCTGCCACTACCACTCATGGGGGGGCGCCAGGGGAAGGGGAGGAGGCGGGAGGGGAGCAAGGGGGAGGCGAGGAGGAGCATGAGCGCGTGGTGGGGGCGCTGCAGGAGCTGTCTCAGCTGGTGGAGCCCGTGCATGCCGCCAATGGTGCGCTACCCCTCCCCTCCCATCCCCTGCTATCTCGTCCTTGCTTGCTCATGCTGCCACACCCACACCACACAGCACGGGCTTCATCTGCTCCCTCTTCCGCACCTCCTCACTTTCAACTGCACCCTCCACATCTGCACCTCTCATCGCATTCTCTTCGCCCCTCTCTGCCCGCCCTGCTCGCACTGCCCGTGCACGTGCGTGTGCATGGCAGATCTGCACAAGCTGGGCGGGCTGGCACCGTTAGGGGCGCTGCTGGAGCATGGGAGCAGCGAGGTGCGCGGCATGGCGGCACTGGTGGTGGGCACGGCGGCGCAGAACAACCGCCTCGTGCAGCAGCAGGTGCGCTGCTCCATAGTATGGAGTCCATACACCCCCTCCTCCCCCTCCTCCGCGCCACCCTACCACATCCACCTCGCCTCTGCTCCCATCCGTTCTGTCTCGTCTCTCCGTCTCCCCCACCGTCATGTGTACGCCAGGTGTTGGACACGGGTGTGCTGCGAGCCCTCTTCGCGCGCCTGCACTCGCCGCAACCAACCCCCCCAGTGGGCGAGGACGAGCACGCCAGGCTGCTCTTCGCCCTCTCTGCTGCCATCCGCGGCCACGTGGCAGCCACCCATTGGTTCTACCACCACGGTGGTGTGGCCCTGCTGGCGCGCCTGCTGTCCCTACCATCCCCCCGCGCGCAGCGCAGGGCGCTCTTCCTGCTCGCTGACCTGGCGGATAGTGCAGGGGCGCGGGCAGGGGGTGGGGGGGAGGGTGGGGATGCGGAGCGGGAGAAAGAGGGGGTGAGGATGGGCAAAGGGTTGAAGGGTGAGGGGGACAGTGAGGAGGCAACTATGGGGGAGAAGCAAGGAGGGGAGGAGCAAGGGAGAGAAGAGTGGTTGGCAGATGAGGCGCTGATGACGGCAGTGCTGGGGCTGCTAGGCGGGGGCGAGGGGGAGAGTGTGGAGGGGCGGGGGGGAGTGTGGAGGCGGAGTGAGGATGGCAGCAGCACGTGGGACCTGGACATGCTGGATAAGGTGGGTGGGGCGCATGGTGCTTCACCACATTCTCCATGCATTCACGCACACACAGTTCTTTGTGCCTTTGTTGTGTTCTGTTCTTTTGGGTGGCTGGTCGCATTTGTCACCTTCTTGCATGTCTGCTTGTTTCAATATGCACTCATTCCCAACTGCGCCCACCTGCTCTCTCCACTATCCCCTCCCCCCACCCGTGCAGGCAGCAGCAGCGCTGCACAGCCTGCAGGCCGCCTCCCCCTCCACGCGCCAAGTGCTGCTCGCATGCTGCCACCCCGAGCTGGCGGTGGAGCGCGTGAGGGCAGCGCTGCAGGCGCATGTGGGGGAGGTGCAGCGAGGGGGGGACGAGGCGGAGTATGAGCAGGAGGTTGTGGGACGCCTGGCTTCACTGCTGCTCGCCCTGCAGGCAACAGGGAGAGGGGCGGATGCCCGGTCTCACTAGTAGCGCCGGTGCTGAGGGGAATGATTTCCGTGTTCTTCCGTGTATGAGTTGGTGCTCTTGAGCATTGCGAGGAACAGGAAATGTGCTGGCAGGAGTTATTACATTCACGGCAGACCAGAGGCAACATACTAGCACTGGCAAACTAGTGGTGAGATACTAGATGGGCACACCAGGTGGCACCCACGCCCCTCATACAGCATCCATCCTCCTTGCCTCCTGCAATGGCCTCCCATCCCAGCGCCTGGCAGCGTTCGGCAGTGATGCAGTTCAGGGTTGAGTGGGTTGTCAGAAACAGAAACGAACAGGAATGGCTAGAATTAACTTGCAGGGCAGAGAGGGGTTACAAATAGTGACCCACGCCCAGTACAGCACAACCTGGCTTGGCAAAGAGTTGTACACCTAGGAATGCAAGAGCGTAATCTGACACACCCCCTAGGCTAGGTGAGGGCAGTGCCAAGAAGAGGAGAAACAACTGGTGAAACCAAGCATACCGGTACCATATAGACTAGGTGGCCAGGATACTTACCGTATGTTGAGGTGCAATTGCATCACTCCCCATCTCGGTCAGTACCGTATGTCAAAGTCACTCAAGCCCATCAAGTACTACCCGCTTGGTCTGTTGTCTTCATCCCTGCCCTTCCCTCCCATTCCTCCCGTCCCATGCGACTTGCGAATCATGAGCTTCAACCCCCTCACCCCTCCATCACCAGCACCACCAGCACCAGGAGCACCAGCACCAGGAGCACCAGCACCAGGAGCACCGCCAGAACCACCAACACTAGCACCGCCAACACCAGCAGAAGTAGCACTACCATCACCAGCACCACCAGTCCCAGCAGCACTTGCAGAAGCACCGACCGCAGCTGCTGCTAGCTGCTGCCTGCCATCTGCCTCCTGCCTGCCAGCCGTGACAGACGCCTCCAAAGCCCTCCTCCTTCTGGGCCCATCCTTGCCTGCCGCCCCCTCCCCATCTCCATCCCCACTCTCCTCCCTCTTCCCTCCCACATCTCCCACGCTATCCCCCTTCCCACCCCCCTTCCCATCCTCTTTCCCTTCCTTACCTCCCCCAACACTCCTCCCTCCTTCGCCCCTCCCCCTCCCACTATTGCTACCTGCAGCCCCCCCCCTGCCCGCCCCCCCTATAAGAACATCCAAGCCCGCCAAACCCCCTGTACTGCCACCCCCATGTGTTTGTTTCTCTTCCTGAGACCGCGTTTGAGGCGCTTCAAGACCCAGACCCTCTGTACCAACACCACTCCCGTGCGTCTCCCCGGCTTGCCTTTTCCCCTCACCATCCACCTCCTTCCCCTCACCATCCACCTCCTTCCCCTCACCATCCACCTCCTTCCCCTCACCATCCACCTCCTTTCCCCTGTCTCCCTTGTTATCCTTACACTCTTCCTCCTCCTCTGCTTCCCTCTGCACCTCCCTTTGCCTTTTCCTCTGCCCCTCACACTTTGGTGCTCCACCCTCCTTGGTAAACCCATCCACACCCCCGCCCCTCCCCTCATCACCCTCCTCTTGCAAGTGTCGTTCACTCCTCTCCTCAACCCCCTTTTGCATCACACCACTCACACTACTCTTTCCTCTCCTTGCCTCCTCCACCTCCTCTCCCTCCCTCCTCTGCCTTCCCTTGCCCCCCTCCCTCCCCTCATCCTCCTGCCCTCCCTTCCTCCTCCTCTTGCTCCTTGTCACCTCTGCATGCAAATCATCGCCCTCTCTTGCGTCCCCTCCTTTCCTCTCTCCCAACTCCTCAGCCTTCTCTGCTGTATCTCGTCCCTTCATACTTCTCTCATCGTATCTTTTCTCCTCCTTTGCCGAACCATCCTTCTCCCCCTTTTCGCCCCTTTCTTTTGCTTCCTCATGCTCTCCCTTCCTCTTCCTCCTCTCCCTCCCCTCGCCCCTCCTCTCCCCCTCATGTCGCCCCTCCTGCTCCTCCACCCTCACACCTTCGCCTCTCTTCCTCTTCAGCCTTATCCTCACTCGAATCCCCTCCTCCCCTCTTCCCTCACCCCCTTCCTCCCCCTCCCCCACCTGTTCCTCCTCCTCTACCTTGCCACTCTTCCATCTCCTCCTCTTCCTCTCCCCTCCCCCCTCCCCTTCCCCCACCTCCTCCTCCTCCCCTACCACCTTCCTCCTCTTCCTCTTCCCTAAACCCTCTTCTCCCCCCCCTTTCTCCTTTCCAAAAGTCCCTGCAACATACCCCACCCCCACCCTCCTTCCCTTCCTACCAACACCATCACCACCACCCAACCCTCCTCCCCGTTCCCCCCCACTCTCCTCTCCCTCACTCTCCGAAAATGGAGGAGGAGCTTTTTCCCTGCCCTCCTCCTCGTCCTGATCAGCTCCCTCATGCCCATCTCCTCTGCCCTCCCCACCTCCACCTTCCCCCTCTCCTCTCCCCTCCCGGTCCGCATCCCCTTCCTGCTGCTCCTCCCTCGCATGAAGCGAGGCCATTCCCCTCTTCCTCTGCCCCCTCTTTCGAGACCAAGTGCTCTCCTCCGCCTCGCCTGCTGCCCCCTCCCCTCCTGCCTTTGCTCCTCCCTTGCTTTGCTCCACACGGCGTTTGAATCGAGACCAGAGCTCTTGAGTGGCCTCTGCTGCTGTTGCGACCTGCCGAGAGGGAGAGAGAAAGACATGCCAAGCCACATGACAACTTGAAGTCGACCCTCTTCCGCCACATGACCAGCGCTCTTGAGTGGTCTCCGCTGCCAGTACGACCTGTGGTGAGGGAAAGAGAAACACATTACCGATGCCACACGAGAACTGAAAAGGCCGCACTCTTTCCGCCTTGTATTATATCAATACCAGAGCTCCTGATTGGATTATTGAGGCGCCTAACAAATCGCCTAAGTGGCTCCTGCTGCCTTGCGACCTGCTGCCTTGCGACCTGCTGCCTTGCGACCTGTGATGTGATGAGGGACAACGAATGACACATAACACCACACGTTGGCGTTTCAAGGCAGCACTTGATAGAGCAAACGAGGAGCAACACAAGGGCACAGCAATGCAATTGACAAGGGCACAGCAATGCAAGGGACGAGGCAATGGAACTCACACTAGGAGCGTGGCCCAGGCAGGCAGGGCATGTATAGGAGAGATGTGAGTTCGTCTGATACTGCATGTACTGCTCATCGCTGCACGCAGGGCACACCAAAGAATCGAGAGAATGCATTGCGCGTCTCAATGAGCGGAAAAAGAAGGTGTGAAAAAAACAGTGGGAAACAGGTGTGAAAAAAGTGTGGAAAAAGGTGTCCGATTCTGCGTTAACTGGTGATCAATGCGTTCCGGATTAGTAGTCTTAAACATGGCAAGCTTGTTTCAATGTATACTTTGATTCTTCCTTGTGAAAACCAGACAAACGAGAAGGAAAAGAAAATCACTTGTGGAAAGTGAGGAATAGATTGGGATGGTCAACAAGTGTTGGGGAAGAGCAACACAGAAAGGAGAGCGAGCGAATGGGGACAAGGGGGGAAAAGGGAGGGAGAGAGAGGGGGTGTGATTGCAATATAATACTGTCACATGCACAAAGGTATGGGTACAGGTTCAGAAATGGCACCCTTTACCCACCTGATATTGTCACACGCGCAATGCACCCAGTGCTCGCATTTGTCACAACACACCATTGGCGTTGGCTCTGAGACCCGATACACCTGCGGTGAGGGCGGTGGGATGCGCATGCATGTGTAGTGTCGACACATGCAGACTCACATGCATACACACATGCATACACACATGCATACACACATGCAGACGCACATGCATACACACATGCATACACACATGCAGACACACATGCAGACACACATGCATACACACATGCAGACACACATGCAGACTCACATGCAGACACACATGCAGACACACATGCATACACACATGCATACACACATGCATACACACATGCATACACACATGCAGACACACATGCAGACACACATGCAGACACACATGCATACACACATGCATACACACATGCAGACGCACATGCATACACACATGCATACACACATGCAGACACACATGCAGACACCCATGCAGACACACATGCAGACACACATGCAGACACACATGCATACACACATGCATACACACATGCAGACACACATGCAGTGCAGACACACATGCAGACACACATGCATACACACATGCATACACACATGCATACACACATGCAGACACACATGCAGACAACATGCAGACACACATGCAGACACCCATGCAGACACACATGCAGACACACATGCATACACACATGCAGACACACATGCAGACACACATACAGACACACACGCAGACACCCATGCAGACACACATGCAGACACCCATGCAGACACACATGCATACACACATGCAGACACACATGCAGACACACATGCAGACACACATGCAGACATACATGCAGACACACATGCATACACACATGCATACACACATGCATACACACATGCATACACACATGCAGACACACATGCAGACACACATACAGACACCCATGCAGACACACATGCATACACACATGCAGACACACGTGCAGACACCCATGCAGACACACATGCATACACACATGCATACACACATGCATACACACATGCATACAAACACGCAGACACACATGCAGACACACATACAGACACCCATGCAGACACACATGCAGACACACATGCAGACACACATGCATACACACATGCATACACACATGCAGACACACATGCAGTGCAGACACACATGCAGACACACATGCATACACACATGCATACACACATGCATACACACATGCAGACACACATGCAGACAACATGCAGACACACATGCAGACACCCATGCAGACACACATGCAGACACACATGCATACACACATGCAGACACACATGCAGACACACATACAGACACACACGCAGACACCCATGCAGACACACATGCAGACACCCATGCAGACACACATGCATACACACATGCAGACACACATGCAGACACACATGCAGACACACATGCAGACATACATGCAGACACACATGCATACACACATGCATACACACATGCATACACACATGCATACACACATGCAGACACACATGCAGACACACATACAGACACCCATGCAGACACACATGCATACACACATGCAGACACACGTGCAGACACCCATGCAGACACACATGCATACACACATGCATACACACATGCATACACACATGCATACACATGCAGACACACATGCAGACACACATACAGTCACCCATGCAGACACACATGCATACACACATGCAGACACACGTGCAGACACCCATGCAGACACACATGCATACACACATGCATACACACATGCATACGCACATGTATACACACACACGTGCAGACACACATGCATACACACATGCATACACACATGCAGACACACATGCAGACACACATACAGACACCCATGCAGACACACATGCATACACTCATGCATACACACATGCAGACACACATGCAGACACACGTGCAGACACCCATGCAGACACACATGCAGACACACATGCATACACACATGCATACACACATGCAGACACACATGCAGACACACATACAGACACCCATGCAGACACACATGCATACACACATGCATACACACATGCATACACACATGCAGACACACATGCAGACACACGTGCAGACACCCATGCAGACACACATGCATACACACATGCATACACACATGTATACACACGTGCAGACACACATGCAGACACACGTGCAGACACCCAGACAGAGTAGGAATGAGAGCCTGGAAACACGTGATGATGATCAAATGCACACAGAGGCATTTGTTTCAGTCAGTCACATCAACTGCACCCACCCCAACTGCACCCACCCCAACTGCACCCACCCCAGCTGCCCCACTCCACCTACCCTGAAGCACGGGGCAATGATGCTTCCTCACGACGAGCATACCCCACCAGTACTTACCTTCCCCAGCAGCACCTACCCCCCAGGAGCACCCACCCCAGCTGCACCTACCCCAGCGGCACCCACCCCAGCAGTACTTACCTCCCCCAGGTGCACCTACCCTGAGGCAGACGGGGCAGTGCTGCACCTACCCTGAGGCAGACGGGGCAGTGCTGCACCTACCCTGAGGCAGACGGGGCAGTGCTGCACCTACCCTGAGGCAGACGGGGCAGTGCTTCTTCTTGACGAAGAGGCGGCCACAGGCGTCACACAGCATGTAGTTGAAGAACCACCTGCGCCCATGGTAGGGCGGAGAGAGGAGGTGCGCGGAGGGACAGGGAGGGGAGGGGGAAGGGGGAAAGGGGCAAGGCGTCACACAGCATGTAGTTGAAGAAGCAACAGTGGCGGGTGGGGAAGGCGAAGGGAGTGCGAGGATGGGAGAGCGAGACGAGTGACGGAGCATGTAGTTGAGGAAGCAGCTAGGGTGTTGGGGGGGAGAGGTAAGAAGAAGGGGGAAAGAGGAGGAGCGGGGAAGAGGAGGAAGGGGGGAAGAGAAGGAGGGGGGAAGAGGAGGAAGGGGGGAAGGGGAGGAGGGGGACAAGAGGAGGAGGGGGTAAGAGGGGGAAGGGGGGAGAAAAGGAGGCACAAAGCATGTGATTGAAATACAGGCTAGGGGGAGAAGAGGTAAGAGGAGGGGACGGATGGAAGAACCAGAGGGGAGAGCACGGAGGGACTGGGAGAAAGGAGGGAAAGGGGAGAGGAGGGAGGGGAAGGAGGGGAGGGATAGAGAAGGCGAGAGGGCATTTAGCTGAAAAAGCAGCTGAGGAAAATGGGGAGACCAGGGGGAGAGGAGAATGGGGGGGAAAGAGGGTGGGGGGGGGGAAGAGAAGGGGGAGTGGATGAGTGTCATGTCAACAGGAACGAGGTCAGTCGAGGTCACATGGCACGTAGTTGAACAGTCAGCTGGAAGAGTAATTGGAGTGAGATAGGGTGGACTAAAATGAAAGTGGAAGGTGGACAGAGAGGGTGACAAGTGGGAACAGAGGGAAGACGATCACGCACCTTGTCCTCCCACCATCCTCACCTCCCACCATCCTCACCTCCCACCATCCTCACCTCCCACCATCCTCGCCTCGCACCCACGTTTTTTCCCGTCTCTCTCCCACACTCCCATCCCCCACACATCTTCCCACTCCCTGTTATCCCCACTCCCTCACTCCCAGTTATCCCCATCCCCTATTGTCTCCAGCCCATCTCCTCACTCCCTGCTATCCCCACTCCCTGCTATCCTATCCCCACTCCCTGCTATCCTATCCCCACTCCCTGCTATCCTATCCCCACTCCCTGCTATCCTATCCCCACTCCCTGCTATCCTATCCCCACTCCCTGCTATCCTATCCCCACTCCCTGCTATCCTATCCCCACTCCCTGCTATCCTATCCCCACTCCCCGCTATCCTATCCCCACTCCCTGCTATCCTATCCCCACTCCGTGTGATCCGCACGTCTCACCGCGAGGACGTGCCACTGCCAGGCACTTTGGAGCCGCAGCTGTGGCACTGCGTGTGCCTGGGACACAGGAAGGGGCCCTTGAAGGGCGACTGGTGGGGTGCAGAGGATGCAGAGGGATGGAGGGAGGAGACGATGGGTGAAGAGGAGCGTAGAGGGGTGCAGAGGGAGAAAGGGAAGGGTAGATGGTGCAGAGGGGTGCAGAGGATATTGTGAGGGACAGCAGCATGGTGTTTGGGCTGCATGAAGCACAGCCGCTCGCACACACCAACACACTCCTTCAATCGCACACACTCACACCCCCGCTCTCTCACTCACTCACCCACTTGGTGTGCAGCTGAGTGCACCAGGCATGATAGCCTCTATCACAGCAATAGCCGCACAGATGCATGACGGCAGATTCTCAATCTCACTCTCACCCTCACCCGCACCATCACCCTCACTATCACTCTCATTTCAATCTACCGCTCCCACGCGCTCACATCGGTGTGCAGCAGAGTGCATGAGGCATGATAGCCCTGTCACAGGATGGATGATAGCTCCTTCTCACCCTCACTCTCACCTCCCTCACACGCTCCCATGCGCTCACCTTGATGTGAAGCTGAGTGCACGAGGAATGATAGCCCCTGTCACAGCGGTAGCAGCACAGGATGCATGAGGGCCGACTCTCACCCTCATTCTCTCTCACCTGGACACTCATTTCTCTCACCCTTACCCTTGCTCCCACTCTCACTCTCAACCTCATTCGCACCCTGACTCACACTCCCTCACTCGTGACATGTGCGCACCTTGGTGTGCAGCTGAGTGCATGCCGCATGGTAGCCCCTGTCACAGCGATAGCAGCACAGGATGGACGACGGCTCCCCGTAGCGCTGGCAGGCCTGCCATCACATGTCAGGGTTTCGGGTTCAGGGTTTCAGGGTTTAGGGGCAGGCAAAGCAGAGGGGCGGCAAGAAGGTTCAAACATAATCGCAGCAGAGGATGGATGAGGGTTCCCAGCAAGCACAGAGAGGAGGACCAACCAAGGTCACACGAGAGAAAGGATGAGGCTTTGTTTGAGCCGACTCAAAAGACGAGCGCCTGTGGGGCCTGCTGGGGGCATGTGAGACGATACCCCATGGCATGCGAGACGATACCCCATGGCATGTGAGACGATACCCCATGGCATGTGAGACGATACCCCATGGCATCATATCATGCCCACCCCCCCTCCCCATGCCCCACCCACCCCCCATGCCCCAACCCCATGCTCCATCCCCCATGCTCCATCCCCCATGCTCCATCCCCCATGCTCCATCCCCCATGCTCCATCCCCCATGCTCCGGCTGACCTCACAGCGAATGCACCCCGGGCACACCCAGTCCCGCCAGTCCAGGTTGCCTGCGCACAGCACGGCAGTGGGGAAGAATGTGGGCAAGAGGGGATGTGGGGCACGGGGGGAAGGGCATGGGAGGAATGTGGGGCAACCGAGGGGGGTGGGGGGTGGGGGGTGTGGGTGTGGGGCAACGGGAGGGGGGAGGCGGGTGAATGGGTGGAAGGAGGGGCAAGGGAGGCGAATTGAAGAAGAGCAAGAAAGGACAGCAGCAGCACACACCATGAGCAGTGGCGCACACCCCGCCCCACCCAAAACCCACCCCACCCCACAGCACACAGACATGCCTCTGTTGTCAGCCATGGGCAAGAGGCAGTGGCAGTGACAGCTGCGGCGGCACTGGGGGCATGGCAGCAAGCGAGTGGCGAGCAAGCAGCACAGGGCACGGCATGAGAGCCGCACACGCATTGCATACCACTAGCCGCACCCAGCAGGCACACAGCAGGCAGACGTACCTCTGTTGTGAGCCATTCCCAGCAGGCAGACGTACCTCTGTTGTGAGCCATTCCCAGCAGGCAGACGTACCTCTGTTGTGAGCCATTCCCAGCAGGCAGACGTACCTCTGTTGTGAGCCATTCCCAGCAGGCAGACGTACCTCTGTTGTGAGCCATTCCCAGCAGGCAGACGTACCTCTGTTGTGAGCCATTCCCAGCAGGCAGACGTACCTCTGTTGTGAGCCATTCCCAGCAGGCAGTGGCGGTGGAAGCTGCGACCACACTGGGGGCACGGCACCAGGCGAGCACCTCTCGCACTGCCCTGCTCCTCCTCTCCCCCACACAGCCCGCACCACACACTCCCCTCCCCGCCCTCACTCGCCTCCCTCCCCTTCCTCCCTCTTCTCCCTCTCTCCCCTCTCTCCTTGTCCTCTCTTGCAATCCCTCTTTCCGTGTCCCCTCTCTCTCCCTCCTCCTCCTGCTCATATCTGCCTGTCTCATCACCACCCACCCGCTTCATCCCCTCCTCTCCAGCCTTCTCGTGCACTCCCGCTGCTCTTGCTCTTGCCGAAATCCTTTCTGCCCCCTCCCCTTTTCTGCTCTCCTCCTCGTCCTCCTTATCCTCCTCCTCCCTTGCCTCCTCCTCCCGACCATCCCCGCGTCTCTTCCTTTCATCCCCTTTTCCCCTCCTTACAACACCATCGTCCCCTCCCCTCTTCTCTCTCCCCCTCTCCTCATGCCGCTTCTCCTTCCCTCCCTTCTCTTCCTTCACCTGCACCTGCAGTTCCAACTCGTCACCCCTCCCTCCCTCTCTCCTTTCCCTCCTCGCCACCTCCTCACCACTCCTCTTCCTCGCCCTGCCCCCATGTCGCCTCCCCTCCATCTCACTCTCCCTCTGAGTCTCACCCTTCTCCCCCATGGAGCCCTCTCCTCCCCCATCTACTCCCTCGCCCACCGCTGCACCCACTCCTCCGTCTTCCCTCGCGCCCCCCTCTTCGACCTCATCCACATGCCTCTCTGCCACATGCCTCTCTGCCACATGCCTCTCTGCCACATGCCTCTCTGCCACATGCCTCTCTGCCACATGCCTCTCTGCCACAACACTATTCTTTCCATCCGTCTCCTCCCCTTCTCCCGCTCTCACTCTCTCCCCCCTCTTCCCCACCAACTCACCTCTCTCCTTCTCACGTTTCTTCCTCCTCCTCCCCTCCCTATGACGTTCCCTCTCTCTCTCACCAACCCCATCCTCCCTTCCCCCTCCTCCCACCCTCTCTCCCTTCCGAGACCTCTCTCCCCCTGGCATCTCTCCCCCTGGCATCTCTCCCCCTGGCCTCTCTCCCCCCTTAGCAGTCTCCCCAGCCTTTGCCTCCTCGAAGTCTTCTCCTCCATCCTTCACTCCTCCTCCATCCTTCACTCCTCCAACCATCTCTGCATGCTTCTTTCCTCTGTCCTTCTCTCCTTCGATATCACCCCTTCCAACCGTTTCTCGCCCCGCCCCAGCAGCCAGAAGCGCCTTGTCCTTGCGTGCTGCTGTCAGCCTCTCATCAGGTGCCGCCTTCCCAGGATCCACCCCTCCACACGCCACACCAACACCCTCAGCACCACCAACAGCAGCACCAGCACCAGCAGCATCAGTGTTACTGGCGGCCTCTGCTGCTACAGCAGCAGCAGCAGCAGCAGCAGCAGCAGCAGCAGCAGCAGCAGCAGCAGCAGCAGCGGCGGCAATAGCAGCGGCAGCAGCCTTGGACCCACCAACAGGTCTCCCCCTCTTTGCAGGTACAGCCTTTAGTAGCCCCCCTTTTTCTCCCTCCGCCCGCCTCCTTTCCTTCTCATCCTCCCCCTTTTTCTCGCTCGTTCCTCCTCTCCCTTCCTCTCCCCTCTCCTCTTCCACCTCCTCTCTCCTCGGACCCTTCCCCTTCTCCACTCTCTCCCGTTTATTTGCTTCTTCCGCCTTTCCCTCTGCCAACCCTCCCTCCCCTCCCTCCCCCATCTCTTCCCTCTTGCCTCTCTTCCCACTCTCGCCTCCTTCCGCTCCCGTTTCTCTGTTTCCTCCCTCCTTTCTCTCCCCTTCCTTTTCTTTCTTTTCTCCCTCCTTCCGCTCCCCTCCATCCTCGTCCCCTCCTGCCTGCCCTCCCGTCCGTCGTATCTCAGCTTCACCATCCTTCCCCTTCTCGCCACGCCCCCCTTCACTCACACCTACTACCTTCTTCCCTTCAGGAAGCTTCACTTTCACTCTACGCTTGATCTTCACCTTCACTCCAACCTTCCCTCCCGGCCCACCCACACCACCTCCTCCCACATCATCCTCCCCACCAACACCACCCTCCCCACCGCCTTCATGCTTCCCTCTCGCCGCCAGTGCACTGGTGGGATCCCCTTCCCCATGCACTGCCTTGTGGCCTGAACGGACAATGCTACCACCAGCACCACCAGTGGCACCAGCGGCACCAGCACCATCACCAGCATCACTAGCAGCAGCAGTACCAGCCGCAGCGCCAGCAGCAGCTGCAGCAGCAACACCAGCAGCTGCAGCAGCAACACCAGCAGCAACACCAGCAGCAGCACCAGCAGCAACACCAGCAGCTGCAGCAGCAGCAACACCAGCAGCAACACCGGAACTATCCTTTACAGCAGCAGCAGCAGCATCCCGTTTCTTGCGTGAGATAATAATAACTCTCTTTGGCTTTCGCGGCACCGTTTCACTCCCTAAAGCCACTGTAGTTGATCCACTCTGCACTGCAGCTGAGTCACTCCGCACTGTAGCTGACTCTGCTTGCGACGCAGGAACTTCAGGTGGTTTTTCAGGTGAAACCAACACGAGAACCTTCCGCTGAGCGCCGCCTTTGATTTTGATCGTGCGCCTCCTCTCCTTCACCGATTCAGAGGCAGCCCCAGCAGCGGTATCAGCAGCAGCAGATGAAAGGCGGGCAGCACCGTCCGACTCCAAACCTGCTGCTGCAAGAGCCGCACTGGCAGATGGGCCAGGGGAAGGTGCTGTCGCCACAGCTGTAGCAGCGGCTGTAGCCACAGCTGTAGCAGCGGCTGTAGCCACAGCTGTAGCAGCGGCTGTAGCACGCTTGGCGGGCGTGGAAGGCAAGGGGGGGACGGCAGGTGCAAGGTGGGGTACTGCTTGAGCGGGTTTGGAGGAAGGAGAGAGCACAAGCTGTGAATCAGATGAACCAGCCGCATGGGCACTGGCAGCAGGAGCAGCAGCTGCACCAGCAGCGGCACCAACAGCAGCTGCAACACGAGCAGGGACAGCAGCAGCGGCCGCCGAAGGATCACAAGCAGAACCAACAGTCTTCCCTGCAGCTTTAGCCGCTGCCGCATCAGCAGCAGCAACAGCCGCAGCAGCAGCGGCGAGAAACGGAGGCAGGGGGTCAGAGCTATTGGCAGCAGCAGCAAGAGCAGCGATGACCACAGCAGGCAGCGGCGGGGGGGGCAGCCCTGCAGCAAGAGCAGCCGCAGTGGCCGCTGCATGCGCCCTTGCGGCCTTTGCTGCCGCCCCTGCTTTACCCTTCTTGCTCGCCGCGAGAGCCTTGGCCCGAGCCGACATCTTAGGCTTGGGGGGACGCCTGGGGCCCGGGATTCTAGGCTTGGGAATGCCGTCCCCTGCTGCTGCTGCTGCTGCTGCTGCTACTGCAGGGTGCAGGAGTCCATGTGGGTGATCCAGCCCCTAGAATCACGTGAGTGAGTGTGCATCAGAAAAGACAAGAGAGCAGGTGATTAAGTTTTTTCAAAGGAACTTTAGCATGATCCAGCTCCTGGAATTATGGGAGTATAGTCTATAATCGGTCATAAAACTCTCTGCACATACATGCGTGGTCCAGACCCTAGAGGGTGGAGTTACACGTGTGGGTGCACGAGCAAGGGCAAGCGCAAGAGAGCACGCTGAGGACCTCGGGACAGAAAACGATGGATGAGACGACAATGACAAGTGGCTATGGCTAGCAAGCAGGACCGTGCGGATACGGAATCATGGGAACTTGAGGGGGGTTGGGGGGAGAGGGAGGGAGAGGGGGGGGGTGTTGGCAGGGAGGGCGACGGGGAGAGATGGGAGAAAGGTGGGGCTGCAGTGGAAAAGGTTGGTAAAAGATGGGAGAAAAGTGGGGCTGCAGTGGAAAAGGTTGGTAAAAGATGGGAGAAAAGTGGGGCTGCAGTGGAAAAGGTTGGTAAAAGATGGGAGAAACACACAGTGTGTGTCACACGCACTCACCTGCCCGCCAAAGGCAGACTGCCCCCACACTGCCTCCCCCCCACTGCCCCACTCCGAGCCAGGCGTGTAACCAGCTGGGTGGTAACCAGCCGTGTGGTAACCAGCGGCAGGAGCTTGTGCGGGTTGCAGGAATGGTTGAACGACCACCCCGCCGTCTGCATGGAGGGGAGAGGCAGGCAGGAACGAGGGGAGATGTGGGGATGAGGGGAGAGGTGGGGATGAGGGGAAAGGTGGGGATGAGGGGAAAGGTGAGGACGAGGGAGAGGTGGAGAAGAATAGCCTATATGAGGAGCAATGGGAGGGGAGTAGGAAGAAGGGAGCCAATTGCTCTTCATTGCTCCTCATTGTTAGGCACATGCTTTCTTATCCGGCGCGCGGACTCGGGAGTCTCACCGTCCCAGTCATCCTCGCTCTCACCGTCCCAGTCATCCTCGCTCTCACCGTCCCAGTCATCCCCCCGTCCAGTCATCCTCGCTCTCACCGTCCCAGTCATCCTCGCTCTCACCGTCCCAGTCATCCTCGCTCTCACCGTCCCAGTCATCCTCGCTCTCACCGTCCCAGTCATCCTCGCTCTCACCGTCCCAGTCATCCTCGCTCTCACCGTCCCAGTCATCCTCGCTCTCACCGTCCCAGTCATCCTCGCTCTCACCGTCCCAGTCATCCTCGCTCTCACCGTCCCAGTCATCCTCGCTCTCACCGTCCCAGTCATCCTCGCTCTCACCGTCCCAGTCATCCTCGCTCTCACCGTCCCAGTCATCCTCGCTCTCACCGTCCCAGTCATCCTCGCTCTCACCGTCCCAGTCATCCTCGCTCTCAAACGGCGGCACGTCCATCTCCACCATTCCATCGTACAGTAACCCGCTCGTTACAGCATCATCCGTTACAGCATCATTCGCTACAGCAGCGTCCGTCACAGCAGCAGCACCCTCTTCCGCATCCCCTTCCGCCACCCCGAGCTTCCCCCGCTCCCACAGGGACCACGCCAACACAGCCGTCTGCGCGTCCACGTGGCAGGCAGCCAGTGGTCCGACGGACCCGAGAGAGCAGCGACATATGGGCCTCCTGCGGAGGGGAGTTGCGATTTGGATCACAGGGAAGCGGGAGCGTGTGCGGTAACAACGGGATTCGTGGCGCGCGGAAAGTATGTCAGAAGGGCTCATAGAGGTTGTAGGAGTTGCATGGTAATACGTTCAAGGTTCAAAACGGTATTTTGTGGTTTTCTATCAATGCCGATAAGGAGTAGAGGAGAAAATAGGATCACGCACACGAAAACCTAAACGACTGAGCAACAGGATTACTGAAGACACAATAACGACTAGCCATAATAACGAGTCACAGTAGGAAGTAAATGGTTTAATTCCTTGATAATAGGGTCGGATGGTGCTTGGCGTCATAACGAGAGGCGCCTTACAGCGTGAGCGGACAGCCAACGTGGAACGTGGTCATAATAAGGGGTGCATCAAACGGAGGTGATTCTAAGCCGCGATCAGCGGCGATCGCTGTCGTGGGCTGCAGGGAGCGAAGAGAACTCCTAGTTGAGAAAGGTCTGTCCTAGTCGCGACACGACAATATTTAGATCTTGTCGCATAAAAGTTTCAAGTTTCTCGACCTTTCACAGGTTTCCTACTTGTGGCAGTTGGCGATTGTGTGCGACTGAGGGTTTTCGGAGAAGGTATAGTAACTTTAGGGTGGCGAGCAGGGCTCTAGATTGGTATTTGGCTACCCTTCCTAATCAGGGTGCACCCTCTTGCTCACCCTGTCCCTTAGGGTATAATTCTGTCAACCCTGATTTTACAAGGGTTAAATCCTGTTTTTTTCTGAACAGGCTGATGTTATCAGGGTGAAAGTATATATACACTGGTGATTTTCTGCTTGTGCTTCTCTATAAGATTGTTGTTACAGGTGATAGCAGCAAGGTTACAGCGAATGCAACGGATTTCCCTCTCACGGCTAGGCTGGCTTTCGGGAAGGAAAGTTGTGGTCGGTTTTGGAGTGCGTGGCAGCATTTTATTGCTGATTTGTTTTTTTCAAAAATTAAGGTGTCGTTTTCTGATTCATGGCGATTTTCGTAACACCCTGCCAGGGTCAGATTTCAAAAACACTGATTTCACCAGGGTAAAATAAGCGATTTTTTTCAATCAGGGTTAATATTTGATTACACTGATAAAATCAGGGCAACGTGGCCTATAGCAAGGGTAATCAGGGCATTTTACCCGTCAAAGGAGAGCCCTGGTGGCGAGTGCCTTTCCCATCCCCAACAACTACGAACTCTTTTGCACGGCAACACGGTTACACCCAGCCAAACTTAGTGTAAAGATTTTTCTCTAATTTCTTAATGAGGCACTCGATGCGCGTACAACTCGAACTTTCGGAGTTCCAGGCTCGGTCCGATGACCTCGCCCTCCAGACGTCCCTCGCGTCGCCTTCGGATTTCCCAACCCCGAACCTGCACCCAACCATGCGCGGTACCTCGACCTAGTTGGCCTTCGCTATATCAATGCTAGGCCTCATTATTTCCTTAGTTGTTGTATTCACTTCCGCGTTATTGAATCTTGCGCACTCTTTTCATTACAACTCATAACACTTGGTATTAGAGCTACTTTCCTAGATTACCCTCGCGTTTCCGGGGTAATTTAGTTAAGGGGTGCGATAGACTTGGTGGGCTGCGAAGCGGTCGGCTGTGAAATAGATACGATTTCACTCCGACTACGTTAGCGTTCGCGCCTTCATCAAAGTCATAAAATCGCTGTTAACCCCCTGCCCGTTAGGCGAAGCCTGAGAAATATGGAGCATGCCGAGTTTAACGAGTTTCTGCTACAGTTCCGGGCGATGCAGGCCAACTTGCAGACGATGTCTGTGGAGGGTCGAACGTCTGAGGTGAGAAGAAACAAGGAATGGATGAACTATGAATGAATTGGGTACAAGTGATGACCCTAATTGGGTTGTACCCCTTATGGGCTACCCCACTATAGCCTACACAATATGCATGAGCTATAATGTTCTGACACACCCCCATAGGCAGAGTGGGGGAGAACAAGGGGTCACAAGACCAGTCAAGTAAAGCAAAGCAAAGCAAGCTCAGGGTGGATCACAAAGTCACCACACATTCCGAGCACAAGTTCAAGGCCACAAGGCCAGTTCACATGCAGGAGTACATATATATAAAAAGGCTAGACAAGCAAGAGCAGGTATATATATATGTAACAGTACAAGCACGGTCAAGAGGTGAGCAAGTGAGGCAAGGTAGGCACAAGGCCCAGCTGAGTACAGAAGCGCTGATGGTCACAAGGCGCAAGCGCCTTGGTGAAGATATCAGCAGTGTTGGCCTCAGAGGCCACGTACGCAAGACGCAGCTGACCACGCTGCTGCAGCTCACGAGCAAGAAAGTAGCGGAGAGCAATGTGCTTCGTTCTGTGCTCCAGTCGCTGCTCCCGACACAAGGCCAGCATGGCCTTGTTGTCTACGTACAGCACTGGAGGAGAACGAGGCGGCTCTCCGAGGTCAGTCAGCAGGTAGGTGAGCCAGCAAAGCTCCTGTGCAGCCATGGCTCCTGCGTAGATCTCAGCCTCACAACTGGAGCCGAGAACAGAAGACGAGCGAGTAGCCCGCCACGAAACAGAGCCGGAACCAAGGCTGAAGGTGTAACCCTGTGACGACCGCTGCGTAGCCTGGTCGTCAGCCCAAGAAGCGTCTGCGTGCCCAGTAAGGACCACTGGACTCTGCCCTCCAAGCACAAGCCCCATGCCCGACGTACTGCACAAGTAGCGCAACACCCTCTTCGCTGCAGCCATGTGCTCCGGTCTGTGTCTCCCAGGAGCAACATAGCGTGCGAGAATGCTAAGAGGGTATGCAAGGTCAGGTCGTGTGCAGGTCATCAGGTACATGAGGCAGCCAACAAGCTCTGGGTACGGGCCACTCGACTCTACGGACTCATCCGAAGGCAGAGCTGAGAGCGAGTGGCGAGTAGGCAGAGGAGTGGCCTGAGGCGAGGAGTACGTGAAGCCGAAGCGCTGAAGGACCTGCTGCACCATGTGTGACTGAGTCAGGGTAATGGTGCGGCGTGCTCTGTCCCGAGTGATCTGCAAGCCAAGGTAGCTGCGCAGTTCACCCAGGTCAGTGCACGTGTGTCTCTTCTGCAGCTCGGACTTCACGTGGGCGAGTCCAGCAGTGTCAGCTGTGGCAAAGACCAAGTCGTCGACGTACACGAGGATGTAGAACGGCGGCAAAGAAGTGTCGGTGCGCAGAAACAGCGACGGGTCGGCAGTAGAGGGAGCAAACCCAAGAGCCGCAAGTGTAGTCCTCAGTGTGTCGTGCCACTCACGCGGTGCCTGGCGGAGACCGTAGACTGGCCGCCGTAGGCTCCACTGGGTGCCAGGAGGAAAAGACCCAGTGAAACCAGGTGGGCGACACAGCCAGATCTCCTCGTGCAGGCTGCCCTGCAAGAAAGCAGTGCTGAAGTCAAGAGAGTGTAGCTCGTAGTCACGGTGAGCAGCTACGTGCAGCAGTACCCGAAGAGTGGTCATCTTCGGGGTGGGAGAGAAGGTCTGAAAGTAGTCAACTCCCTGCCGCTGACTGAAGCCTCGAGCCACGTAACGCGCCTTGAAGACAGGCGGAGAACCCGGCGGCCGCTTCACCCTGAAAATCCACATGCCACTGACGATGTTCGCCCCAGGAGGGGGAACAGCGTCAACGTAGGTGCCTGTGGACTTCCAGGAAGCCATCTCTGCGTCCATAGCTGCCTGCCACTAAGAGGAGTAGGGACCCTCTATCGCCTCCGCGTAAGAGCGCGGAGTCGGGATGTCAAGTGCATCCGGGTCTCCCTCAGGGGTAAGCAGTACGGACACGAGATGAGGTGAAGCAGCGGCCAAGCACTGGAACTCCTCCTGCCTGTCCTCAAGGACGTCCGTGCCAAGGGCACACTCACCCCCGACGGACGGAGGACAGACAGACTCAGACTCAGCAACAAGACTGGCGACATAGTCTAGGCGACAGCGAGCAGCAAAGTCGACGAGCTCAGCAACTAGGGCAGACGCAGCAGTGGACTCTAAGGAAGGGTCAGTGACAACAGTAGCAAGGAGACGCGTGACAGTAGGACTGGCAGCACGAAGAGAGTCCGACTCCGGGTCGGCAAGAGCAGGAAGAGAAGACTCAGGAGGAGAAGGCAAAGGGGCACGCAGAGGAGCAGTGGACGGACGCAGAGACATCCGGTGCGTGCCAGGGACAGGAGGAGGACGCTGACGCGAACCGCGACCACTAGTGCGAGCAGCACGGACAGGCGACGCAGGGCGAGACGCAGGCTCACGACGCTCAGCAAGACCTCCAGTAGGACCAGTGTAGGGAGACGGAGCAGGCAGTGGGGAGGCCGGCTGTAACTGTAACTGCGACGGGACAGGCTGTGGACACTCTAAGGGAGGAGGAGGACCAGTAGAAGACGGGAGACCAAGAACCTGCTGAAGGAGCGGAACGAAGTACGGCCGAGGCCGCGCGGCGACTCCAGACACAGTAGGGACAGCACCAGCACCCCCTGTGGCAGCACCAGCACCAGTAGCAGCTCCAGCTCCAGTACCCCCAGCAGCACCAGCAGTACCCCCAGCAGGACCGCCTCCAGGACCGACAGCAGTAGCCTCCGCGCCAACACCCGCAGCAGCTCCAGCTCCAGAAGTACCCGCAGGTCCAACAGCTCCAGTACGCCCAGTACGAGCACCGCCGGGACCCGTGGCACCAGCTCCCTCAGCAGCAACAGAAACTCCAGTACCCGCAGCTCCTCCAGCTCCAGCAGCTCGCCTCCAGCGCCGGGCAAACCACTCACGCAGCTCCTGTGGAGAGAGTGGCTCCCGGCGAGAAGAAGCACCCGGAGAACCGCCAGGCACAGCACCAGCAGGCCCAGCTCCCTCAGGCTCCGCACCCCCAGGCTCAGCACCTCCAGGCGTAGCACCCCCAGGCTCAGCACCCCCAGACGCAGCACCCCCAGGCGTAGCACCCCTAGACTCAGCACCCCCAGGCTCAGCACCCCCAGTCGTAGTACCCTCAGGCTCAGCACCCCCAGGCGTAGCACCCACACG